GAGCATCGCAGTTTTTGTTTTTTGACGCAATCCTCTACATTTTTGCATACTCAATAAGATATTCGTAATGAGTTCGTTATCACATGCAATTACGAATTTCAAATCACATTGTTGCGAATTAAAACGAAATATGAAATATTTTATTTTTTTGCGATAGAAAAAATGCACACGTGGAATGGATGATATGAACTGCTGGGAACTGTGAGAAACTGATAGGGCATTGACAGGAGTTTTGAATGAGTGCCAGGGGCGTAGCCAAGAATTTGAAGGGGGGACGAATATATTTTTTAAAATTTTTTTTTATAAAACCCTAGCGAAAAGAGAAAATTTCTGTTCTGAGGGTCCTTTAATTACCTGATGAGTGCTAAGTCACAATGAGTCAGAATGAGTGCTAAATCAAAAATTTGTGACTTTAATCATTTTATATGTTTTTAGCGAATTTTTGAAACTTGTTTCGAAAAGGTAGCTTAATATCTCACTATGTCTGTTCGTTCGGCCGGAGAAAAACTTTTTAACTAGACATCGTATTGAGTTCTAATTTGTTTTATTACCTCAGGTCCATTGTTTTATTTTCGCAAAACGCATTTAAAAGTCTTGAAACAGTGTTTTTGTACTATAATTAATGATTTTTATATTTCATATGAAAAAACACGTGATGAGAGCGTTTAGAAATTCGAATTTATTTCTACCGTTGAAAAATTTTGAATCTCAAAAAACCGTTAAATTACCAAGCCTTTTTATAGAAAATTTTTTTGCAACAGACTGATAAATAACTATAATTAATGCCTTTACTGTAATTTTTGGCAATATACTTTCAAATGCATACGACCGTTACAAAATTTGAACTTCAGAAAACCGTTAAATGATAAACAATCTTTATAGGAGAATGAAAGATATTAAATTGATAAATATACTCGATCAAAAACACGAGGACTTCTGTAATTTTTTTGTCTTTTTCTGTATGGCTCGATACCACGGTTTTAGTCTAACACGCTCTTGCTGTACCTCTGCGCATTGAATCAGCTTGAAGCTGCAATATCAAGTCATATCTTGGTTAATCTGCCAGTGTGAGAGTTATACCTCTGTGGCACGAGTGGTTAGGTAACAAACCGAATATCTGGAATCATCTCATGTTGAGAATGTGGGTTCGATTCTCATCAGAGACTGGTCTCTCAATCATTATATAGACCAGCGATGGCTAGCCCATGTGCCACGAAAAAGTATGTGATATCTTACGAACCGTATGATGTGTGAGGTTTTAGTCATGGCTTAGCACTAAGTGCCATGGCACAAATGGGTTGATCATTATATAGAGTATTGTGGATATGACAAGGAACAGTATTGGATTTGGTATAGGAAATTGAAAATCAATAGAGCCAGTTTTAGGCGGCATCTAAGGGAGGTTATGGATTACAACTGATCTGTAAGGTCATCGAAGTAAGTAGTACGTATTGCAGAAATGACAAGGATTTGACATTACAAATGTCATTTATATTTTAGATGCTGGAGTAGCTTAAGCATATGAAGCATATAACCCAAATAGCACAAGTGGGATAATCGAATAGAAATCTGGCGCCAAACTGGCATGACTCTGGCATGAAGCTTGATTGGAATCGAAGCCAGCACCAAGCCAGAGTCAAACCGACTTGTGCCATTCGGGTAAAACGGTGCCACAGTCATTCAATCCTAACCAGATCAAGTCAAATGCCACAAAAATTGATCAAATTGATTAGACTTAATAAAACCAAAATCAAGCTTCATAAATTCCCAAACAATTTTCTCCATACCCGCACCTCACTGAATTTCAATATCTACAAACTCAATAAACAATATAAACTCGATTATCAATCAGCGCATAATAATCGATAATAGGAGAAAAATAAAAAAAATTAAAATATTTAAAAATGAAATTGTTTAATAAATAATTGATTTTTGAAGGTTCATTAAGCAAGTACAAATCTATCAATGAAATATCTCATCTCATTAAATCTCTATTATTGCTGCTATTATCTAATCGACAAATATACAGCAATAGAGGTAATGAAAAGAAATGCTTCAATGCAATTCTCACGCATTCACAATGATTGGAATGAATATGAAGGAAAAAATATCACACACGATGCATCGTTAATTATGTTATTGGCGATGAGGTAGAAAGTAAAGTGTCGCTTCTTTCTCTTTTCATTTTTTTTTACACAACCTCGAGCTTCTTCCTCGAAACAGACAAGCTAAAAACAATGGACATGCAAGTGCCACGCAATATTCTCATAATCATACGTGAGTCACCAAAATAATTGTGTTACATATATGCCATGTAGTGATTATAAATCTTCATTTAACATAAACAATTGTTATATTGTCATTAAGTTTCAGGAAAAAGTCCATCACATGAGAATAATGGGAAAATTGCTTGAAGGGAAAAATTTGTCTCAGTGTGAAAATTGTCATGCTAATTCACACAACAATGAGTGTAAGTAAGTGAAATTCAAGAAGCGTGAAGAAAACAAAAGGAAAATACACATTTTGGGCACATCAACATGTCGAGGCAGAAGAAAACGAGAAAATCGATATGTAGGGCGCCCATGCGATATGCTTACAGTTTGGACGATTGTGAAATTATGAGTTATTAAAATTGGAAATATGTTAAGTGATTTGAGAAGATGTTGTGAAATATTTGAGTTGCTGAACTGTGGACTAATGTTTAGTTTTAGGAAATGGATTGGAAAAGCTAGACTTGCTTACAGAAAAAGTAGAGCTAATCTTAAGTTGATTCAAGTGAAACCTAGTTAGATCTAAAGCTATATTGTTGTCATTTAACTAGGTTCTGTCATATTCTTGCAATCTAATGACGATAATGTTTATTTGAATAGTATTTGGCTGTTCCTGGAACATCCTACTCTACACTTAAGTTGTATTAAACGAGTCAAAATCATAATCAAGCTTGATTTTACAATGGCATGTCTGAAACTCAGCTAGGTTATAATAATAATGTGAGAGGGTTCCAGCCCAGCAATGTGTTACTACACATTGCGACGAGCCGGAGGCACTGCGATCCTGATCGATGATAGAATCTATTAGCTAGGTTATACTATATCAAGTTTTTGGGTTTTAATTGTCTATTGCTGGGTTTATTCTGGTATAAACATTGATTCTAAGGTAAAGTCTAGGTTAAATACACAAGAAGTATCTTAGAAAGAATGTTTACCTTAGAGTTTATCGAGCAACAAGCCCTTAAATACAGCAAACTGATTTTTGTCGAACCTAGCCAATCTATTATGCTTAGATGTTGCCTAGATAAGATATCAAATGTCTAAAATGACCAAACTAAGCATTCTTCAGCCATGAAAATCACCAAACTTCCAGACATTCAAAAAATTCAACTCAGCCTTTATTTTGTCTAAAGAACCATTTTTGTCTAAGCAGTTAATGATTTGTAAACCTTAGTAAGAAGTCAACATCTCAAATTATTCAGATCACACATCCAATACACCAAGATTAAATTTAAACAAAAATTACAAAAGTAATGCCAAAAATAATCTCTCCAAATTGATAATTGCAACGATAGCCGCCCCAGATTAACATATGAAAATTAACTGGCACAACATTACTCGTTTTGTGCATGTCGACCTACTTGAAATTGACTCTCGACTTTTTTGCGATGAGAAAATCAAAGAAAAAGAAGCGAAGAAGTCGACAATTATTTCTTCAAAGATCATCAACCGTTATTAGTGAAATCTTCATACTTTTTGCCTATTTGGATGCAATTTTACTGTCTGCTTCCCTTTTTGGTCCACACAAAAAAAAAGAGAGAACAAACGAAAAATATAAAGTTGACCTTCATTAAGTTTTCATGGCAACATAATGCAAATCGTATTACTTTTTATGCTGTGTATGCTTATTGTTCTTTACATACGAGAATAATGTGCTTAACAAAAAGTATCGCTGTAAGTTGAAAAACAAGTTTAAAAGAACTTTCAATTAAACTTTTCGCATTGACTCATTCGGTCGGTCTAGATGTTGGCTTTTAAATTTTTTTTGTTTTAGAAATAAACAAAAACGGAAATGATTAAGCAATAGTAAGCAACAAGGCAAGGAAAAAATGAAAACCACAATCAGTGTTGGGGGTCTAGATCTTTATGTAAGGTATGGATCTATATCTTACATAGATCTTTATATATCTTATGCATCTAGGACAGTGATTTTTAAACTTTTTTGGTCCATGGCACATTTTTATGCTTAAAATTTTTCGTGGCACACCTGAAATTCTTTCGCGACACTAGAGTGCCGCGGTCCACAGTTTGAGAACCACTGATTTGGGAAGATCTGGGAACAGGATAAGGTTTTTAAGGAATGTGACAAAATCTAGATACTTGGTCACTAAGGTCAGTTTTAGTTCAGCAAGAAATTATGTTTAGATGGGTTTTTGGCATTTCTGAGTATCAGGAGTCGATATGCACTAGAAGCCATACCTAGGTTCCACCTAGGGTAAACTTTAAGAGCCAATATTAATACACTTTCTAATTACTGTGACAAATTGACTTGATAACAATTGTAACTGCTATGTTGGTGCCCTCAACGTCTATTTGACTTCTTGGCCACGACAAAGCTGTTCTACAGTGTAAGCCAGTGTTGTCCAAACTTTTTGAGCCACGGCACACCTGAGGTGTAAGTCATGACCGTCATGACCTGTCGTATCAGTTTCAAAAAATCAACGGCAAACATGTACCAGTGTGCCGCGGCACACAGTTTGGACAACACTGGTCCAGGCTCTCGTCAATAATTCTTGTCTGAGTCAGATACCCCAAATTGAACCTCCTGAGCTGAAAGGCTTGGCCCTTCACACATTATTATTATAATTACAGACGCCACTACTTAATATCCAACCTAGTCTAAGTCAAATATTATTTTCCAAACCCAGCAAAAATCCCCAGGCAACAACCCTGGTCCATAACAAATATTGATGAATAATCAAAAAGGTATATTATGAATGAATAGCGAACCTTTATGCTCTATGATGTCTCTCTTATCTCTCCAATGAAAACTTTCTTTTATATTATTTTTTTTCGTATATTTTGCTTTCTTTTTAACAAATTAAATCATTTTTCACTCAATTTTGCTATCGGTTTAACACCTTGTTGATTAATTTAATTTTCTTTGTGCAATTTTTATTTAATTTTTTTTTCTACTTCACTAAATTTCGATGTATTTTTTTAAAACAAAATATTTTTTTTTCTTGTTTTATTGAGTCACATTAAAACAACAAACTATTTTCTTAAGCTGCCTTAAAAACTTATTTTTGTATGTCTATAACGGGCGAGTGCAAAACAGCGAATGAGAAGAAAAAGTTTGCTGCTTTGGTTTCAAGCATAACATTCTCTTTTGCACAAAATTACGTGTGACTCTCACTCGTGCTTGTATATGGACTATAAAATGAGAAAAATGAGAAATAAAAAATAGTTAACAATACAAAAAGAGCTAGTGACGCTAGTGAATCTTTTTAATTAATATGAATTTTCTGTTTTATTTCTGGAAATGTTGAATTAAACAGAAGAAATAAGATCGGTTGTGTTTTATTTTCTCTCTTACAGAAACTATTGAGGAAATGTCAGTGATACGTTAGACGGGTTGGCCTTTTGCATAATTTAAAGTCTTTTCTTTAAACTTCGATGAGTAAGCTTATTTTAAAAGAATTTGTAACTTGTTTGAGATAAGGAAAAATTAGTTTTAACCAGGTGCGTAGCTAGAGGGGAATTGTGGGAAATCCACCTTCATCATCAGAAATTTCTTAATTTTGCTAGGTTCTGCATGAAAAATTTGCAAAAATTTCCACCCCCCCCCCCCCCACATAAAAAAAATTATTTTCACCCCCCCCCCTCTTTTTAAATTCTTGGCTACGCCTCTGGTTCCAACCTAATAACGTGTTTTTGTTAAGTGTTTCATTCTGAACATCTTCATTTGATTCATAAACAATTCTACGGCTGTGTTCCTGATGTAAGTCAGTAAGTTTAAAGTTTAAACTGCTGCAAACTTACATCGTATGTATCATAAAGATCTAAGTTTGAAAATTCTACCTGAAAACTGTAAATTAATCATTGATGACTTTACTTGAATCCAGGGGTGGCGGACTGTCCTTATTTCTGTGTTCAGAAATCCCTTATTTTTTAAATTTCAAAATTTGAATTTCTAAACGCACGCCATAAAATTTACTTTTTGAAAATTCACATTTTATCAATTCATTGACGGACTAAACTGGATCCAGAAAAATAAATCATAATGTCTAAAGCTTGATCAAGATTTTAATCGGTGGACCATTTTTTGTTGGAAAAAATTTTGTTGGAACAGAATTTTTTGGAACGGATTTTTTTGGAAATTAATTGTTTGGAAAATAATTTGTTGGAAGTGAAAATATTTGGAACAGAATTTTTGGAATAATTTTTTAGATGTGGAAACATTTGGAACGGAATTTTTTGGAATTCTAAGAATTCTGTTCCAAATAATTTTATTTCCAAATAATTATTTTCCAATAAATAAAATTCCGTTCCAAATTTTTTCAGTTCCAAAAAATTATTTTCCAAATAAATATTATCCAAAAAATTATTTTCTAAATAATTGTTTTCCAAAAAAATCTGTTCCAAATAATTCCGTTCCAACAAAATTTTTTCCAACAAAAAATGCTCCCCCTTTTAATCATATTCTAAACAAAGACTAAGCTGTAATTAAGACAATTTTTAACAAACAAATTCACTGTTTATTTTTCGAAAAAGTTTGATAGTATTAGTGTGGATTCAAATTTAACGGCATTTCTGTTCACCACCCCTGGATTAAAATTATTAAATAAACTTTATTAAGGTCAACATTAACTTTTTATTAAAGATATCATCACAAAATTCATTTTAAACTTCTAAGAAATAATATCAAAAAGTTTGCATAATATCATTCATAAATAAAACTTACAAAATTCAAAATTTCAATATTTTCAAAAACCTAGCAATAATCTTCATAACAAATATGACGTCACAATCTATTAAAACCATGACAACCATACGAATCACAACAAAAAGCCATAATCACATAAATTTCAAATCATTAAATTTCAACAACAAATCAATTCTCTTTAATAACAATAATAAAAGAAGAGAAAAGCTGTTCCAGCCTACTCATTACCTAAAGCTGCAACTAAGACTCATCATCATTGCAAAAATAGAACGTTCAATAAACTCTCTGGCGATGGTTTCTCACACATTCCGTAACATGTTAAATTATTATCGATGAGACACTTTTTTGTGGATGGTCCAATGGCAATAAAATTGATACATGCAAGATCTAATTGATGCTTATTTATAAATGGAAGTGAGAATTTAATAGACGATGGACTGAAAAATACAAAAAATTGTGAATCTTCGTCTTTTAATCTTCTGACTCGCTCTTCTAAATTTGGATGCGGTATTGTATCATAAACCTCAACGGCATCAAGCTTAATTGAATGTTCACTGAGATTCTTTCCGAGAATATCTTGTTTTAAATTGCCACAAGGAAATAGCAAAGGTCGTGTTGCACTTTGAGCGGTAAAATCATTAACAATTATTGAGGATAACTTCAAAGCATTTCCAGCATCTTGACCTTTTGTTGATAAATTTAGCAAATCAGCTGCAAGCTTTCCGGTACTCTCACCGACTGTATAATTAAATTCCTTATCATTCCACTTTTCAAAGATTTTATTATCAGTTGATTTCTGCGTGGCAATTATTGATCGCGGACTTGTAAAGACGATGCCTTCATAATCATCAAATTTGTTCAATTTATCACTTAATAATTCGAGATTTTTAAAACAGAAATCTATTGATGTTATTGATTGAACTGTAAAATTATGTTTTTGAAGTTCTTCGACGAATTTATCAGGTCCGTCACTTTCTGACTTGAAAAGAACAACTTTTGACATTCTTAAATCAACTGAAAGAATTGAAAATCATTTAAGAATTTAATTTTAAATTGTTGATAAAAGTAAAATAAAAATAATTTTTACTTGATTTAATTTGAAATAAACTTCGAATTGTTTTGAGTTTTCGAAAATTGAACATAATACGCGTGCGTAAGTCTGAGCTGGTTGAATAGCTTTTTTCGAAATTTGAGGTAGCTTTTAGATTAGTTTGAATTTTCCGTTATTTTATACTGTGGTTTATTAAACTGAAAATTTATTTACTTTAAAAGTAAGTTTTTCCATCAAATTAAATTCAAAAAAACCTTCCAAGAAAGTGGGTCATTCAGTTATGACGTCTAGAAGGGGGGGGGGGGGGGGGGGCAATTAAATGCATGTAAAGTGCAATTAAGTGAAGAACAACATGTGGATTAGCTTTTTTAATTGACTATCCTTTCAAACGCATCTAGATCCGGATGTTATTTAAAATTTCCATAAGACTCAGAAACAAACAAGTTTTAATTTTGAATCTAATTTTACCCGACTAGGTTGAGTTTACTAGGTTGATCTTAGTTGACTAAATGAAGCTTAGTTGAGCTCAAGCAGTTAAGTGCCTTGCTGGTCCAATAGGTAAGGCGCTTGGCTCAAATTTGGTATGGTAACTCGAAGTTCGTCGGTTCGAATCCAGCCATTTCCAAAATTGTTCTTTTTCAGAAGTTTAGATACTTCGACTGCTTAATGTACGAGATCAAGCCATAATTGGGCATTTTGGGCAACGTTGGATTAAGAAACGGATCAGGAACTTGAAGTGTAGCGGGAGAAATAGGAACGAGAGCTACAAGATTACCTTATAATGGAATATTGTCAGAACGGACCTGAAATGTATCACGTCACGCCCACAGAAGATTGAAACGAGAGCCTGAATTTAAACGAAACCTAGATTTGAAGATTAGAAGTTTGATTCTACGTCACCCATAGTGATATGAAATGTATCACTAATCAATGTAAAAAGTAAAACATGTATAAATACTAATTTTTCCGGACGGTAACGTCGACAAATAAATAATAATAGTGAAGTTGAGCCTAGTTGACTAAGTTGAGCTTAGTTGACAAGTTTGAGCTTAGTTGACTAGGTTGAGTTTGGTCAAATAGAGAAGGGGGGGGGGGGGTCAAAAATCAAAGAATAATAAAAATTCCTAGAAATCGATTGTTCTTTTTTGAAAAATGCCCGTTATTTTCTGACGTCATAAGTGAACGAACCTAATGACAAATCTTATTCTTCGTCCTAATAACATCAACACAAAAATTATTCACAAACCTCATTCAAATAAAAAACACGTGGAAACCCTCAAATGCATTTCAGCACACATGTACACAATAAAATAAGCGAAAGAAAATAAGAAGAGGAAGGAAAAAAAGGCGAAGGAAAAATCATCTGAAGCGTGATGAAGGAAACTTTTAGCAGCAAAGAAACTTATCCTTAGACATAAAAAATGAGAATAAAAAGGAAAGCTGAAAATTTATTTTAAGAGGGTTGAATATTGTCACTCATTTTGTGCTATTCCACATAGAAATAGATCTTACCTTTCGAAAGTGCTTTTGCTTGTTAGTAAATTAGGTGAGTTTTTGGGTAGAATTAGAATTTTATTTTACCTATGTTTGGAGTGACTTAGGGGTGATTATGTGGAAAAGAAATTGTTGAATTTGAGTCACGATTTGAAGCTGAACAGTAGAAGAAATTGGACTAGGATATGAGACTAGAATAGAAAACTAGGATAGGAGACTAGGATATGAGACTAGGATAGAAGACTAGGATAGGAGACTAGGATAAGAGACTAGGATAGAAGACTAGGATAGGAGACTAGGATAGGAGACTAGGATAAGAGACTAGGATAGAAGACTAGGATATAAGACTAGGATAAGAGACTAGGATAGAAGACTAGGATAGGAAACTAGGATATGAGACTAGGATAGAAGACTAGGATAGGAGACTAGGATATGAGACTAGGATAGAAGACTAGGATAGGAGACTAGGATATGAGACTACGATAGGAGACTAGGATATGAGACTACGATAGGACTAAGATAGAATCCCCTAAATGTACTCTTAGCAGAAGAAATCATTACATAGCAGACACGTGCCATAGCAGACAGGTTTATTATCCTCGTGCAATAGTAACACCTAATTCAACCATTCTAACGTCTTCAAATCACTAAAATTCTCATCAATCCCTCAAATCCTTCTCACACCTCATCCCAACAATCTTAATGTCTCTAGTCAAAGCTTTTTATTAAGCTTTAAACACTCTTAGATGAAAATTAAGGACGGATTCTTACTTTCAAATTAAATGAGAATTAAAAGAAATAAAAAGAGAAAATTTTCACCCTTTCTTATTTCAATTCTTAATTAGTTTAATTGCGTATCTATTCGAGCTTATATAATGTTTTAATTAAAGTTAAAATGAAAAGGAGAAAAAACTTCTTTTTTTTCTCTTAGTTCTTGAGTAAATTCAACAAGATGAAAACGAGATTGTAACAAGTTGAATGAAGGAGAAGAAAAATCTTTAAAGATGAGAAGAAAACTTTGTAGGAAGAATCTTTCATTTCATTATAATTTTGATGTTAGCTCGCAATTATCAACTACTTGAAGTGTACAATTAGAGTTGAATTCTTTGCAATTATTTTCAATTGTAATTTGAATTATTTTATGGATTTATTTAATTACAAAACTGATTATTTTGTGTACAGAAATGATTGTACCTTAAAGACTGAATCAGAATCTAAAGCTAAGCCTGTACTGACTTTGAGTTGAACAATCCATTGAGTTAAGCAGGGGCGTAGCAAATAGAGCAGTGTTGTCCAAACTGTGTGCCGAGGCACACTAATGTACCCAAAATTTTTTTGAAAATGGCATGATCCGCATGTTGTGTGTGACTTCGGTCATGGGGTCATCCTTTTAGGTGTGCCGTGGCTCAAATAGTTTGAACAGCACTGCAATATAATCTGGACTCCTTTAAAAATTTTGAACCGTGCTCTCGCTGTTGTTTAAACCTTTAAAGCGGTTGTCCAGACCCTCTTGGCTGAGCCTCTGGCTTTAGGCTCTGACCCAAAACAGATATTTAAGACTGTATCTTAATCAACATCATAATTGAACGACTTTGACTTGTAACTTTATTTTCAAATAACAATATTAGCAACACCCACAGACAACATCAACTTACGTGATGGAAAATAAAACAGAATCACAGAAATGCCATTCAGTTCTCAACTTTTTTGAAAAGTTGCTGATATCACTGCATCCTACACATCTCAATTACGCAAAATGTCCTTTATTAAAATTCACATTCGTCTGAACAAGTTCAACAAAAAAAGCTTGAGCTATTAATAAACTTTCCATCCTACACTCATCGTTGATTATATAAAAACATAGCAACAATAAGCATGATTTTTTTTTTGTTGTAAAATATTTGTATGAAGTTGGATCCTTCAGTTTTCCATATGGGGTCGTTCACTTATGACGTTCAGGAAGCGTCAGCAAGAAAAAACAATAGAAATTTCAGGAAATCCATTGTTCTTTTTAGCACATTTTTGAAACTTGTTTCTAAAAGGTAGCTTAATAATACACTATGCTCGGCTGTTTGGCTGCTCGGGCGAAGAAAAACTTTTTAACCAGACATCGTAGAGAGCTCGGGTTTGTTTTATTAGCTCCGTTACTATCGATTAATCGGCCCATCGAGTGGTTAAAAGTCTTCAAACCATGTATTTATGCTATAAGTAATGATTTTTATTTTATTTTCAGTGTAACCTGCCCAAATTTTATTTTACCTCTATAATTTCAACATCACCTCTATAATTTCAATTTTTTTCTAGCCGTTGTAAAATTTGAATTTCAAAAAACCGTTAAATGATAAAGACTCTCTATATAGACATTTATTGTAATTATTTGTTATTTACACTAAAATTAATGATCTTCTAATATTCTCATGATTTGTAAGTGAACGCAAAATAATTAGATAGTCAAATACTGATCGCCAACACAAAAATGCACTTAAGTTCCTCGATCAATAACACGAGGACTTCTGTAATTTTTTTAAAAAATTACCGTTAATTTTGGACGTCATAAGTGAACGACCCCTAAATGGAAAAATTTCAAATAATTTAAAATTGAGAAAAAAATTTTTTGATGCACAAAAAAAAAAGAAATTTTTAAACTCAAAAAAAAACTTTGTTATCAAATTGTAGAAAAAGTGTCATACGAGGAGAACCACACGATGTACAGCAAGCAAAAAAAAAAGACTGAACATATTGTTCATTTCCCATGAGTAAAAGTTTATCATCAACGTTCATGTGCTGAAAAAAATTTTTTTTCTTCATCTTTTATAACTTCCTGAATGTGAGAATAAATGTCATGAATGGTGCACTCAAGTGTGAGTGTGTGAAAAATGTCGAATGACTAAATTTTCCATTATGGAGAATCCAAAAACCAGAAAAAAAAAACTGTTGTGAATGAAAAGTTTTGAGTCAATAGAGAAAATAAAAAAAAAACTGAAACTTTTCATCATTCAGTTATGATATGAATGAGATGAGATGGGTAAAAAAAAGGGTACATCAACATGTGGCGAAAGTATGAAGCTCACATAAATATGGAGTACATTTGCGCCATTTAACTTCAATGAATTTATCTCTGTTCACTTTTTCTGTTTCGCTTCCATTCAGTCAATGGTACTTTATATGATGAGCTATAAAAAAAAGTTCTATGAATAGATTTTTTTTTTTCATCGTCAACGGCAAATTTCAGGAGCATTTACAGTCATTATCAGATCCTCTTATGAATGTACTTTATCGTCATTATGATTGGGAGAGTTTAAGTTGTTTCTGGACTTCCAGGATTGATTCGACTTAATTTGAGAATACAGATCGTTGGAGTCAGCTGATTAGCTCTCTAAATACTACACCACTAATGATATATCCAGGATATATCTTATGTCCCTCCAAGAGCTCATGTTGGTGCTCTTAAGAGGGTAGTAAGAGCTAATAGATTAGGAAACAGTTTGAGGTTATGATACTGAATTTTGAGGTTATGAAACTGAATTTTGAGGTTAGGTTGACGAATTTTGAGGTTATATTGCTGAATTTTAAAGTAATAATGCTGAACGTTTACGGTTAATGACCGGATTTTGGGATT